GGGCGGGCGTGGGCGCTGTGGGGCGGGAGCGGTAGACCGGCGGAACGGACTGCATCGGACAAGGGATTAGGGGTTGTACGGCTGGATAGATCGGGCGAAGAAAGTGGGCGGTGATGCTATGGCAATGTGCGTGGGACGATGAGGCGGCTGATATTGCCGAGCAGCTGCGGCGGGGCCACCGGGACAGCCGGGCGCGCACCGCTAGCTGCCGGCCTGGCGCGGCGCCGGCCCACTCAGCGGCCCACCTCCTAGGCGGCACGCCGGTGCGCTTGGCCAGCAGCGGCTGGCGCAGCGGCGGCCGCGGCGCTGCTGGCACGGATTCGGAGGTGTCGGTGGTGGCGCAACAGGGCGTCGGCGAGCGGCGCAGGCCGCCGGTCACCGTTTGTGGCGACAACGCAGTGGGCCGCCCCATCAACGCTGGCTGGGGCACGCGTGCCGGGACCACGTGCATAGATAAGCCTGTGATCATGGCTCGGATCTGTAATCCAAGCACTTTTGAATTGAGGCAGGGACCCTAGCCCGAAGGGCGAGCGTTCGCAGCCAGGTGTGGTTCGTTGCTGGTTGGGCTTTCGCAGCCTGACATGCGCCTATCGTGAATGAGATCGCGAGAATTCAGCGCATATGATACAGCGTGGATAGTGCGCCAAGGCCAATGACCTGCGTTGGCGCCAACACGTTTGTCCTGCTGACACACCCAAGTGACAAGGACGCGCCCTCAGCGCGAGTCATCGGTTGTGACTGGCGTTTTGACAAATATATTGCATTGATACGCAACATGACGTTGCCTTAGAGGTCCCGATCGCATCGTGTGGTTCCACGCAGCGCTTGTTGTGTGGCACTCAAGCTCGTTGGGAGCTATCATATACAAGGACTGCGCAGCTTGATCACGGGATGCAGATGCAGCTGGGGCGGCTGCAGGCGGTGCTGCACCGCCCGTGTGCGGTTGTGCGACGCGCTTCAAACATCTTCGCCGCCACGAGGCCGCCCCGTCTGCAGCGGTGGGCGCAGCGGTGGGCCAAGGTGCGAGAGGAGCGTGCTCAAGGCGGTGGCGTACGCAAAAGGAAGCCTCCAGGGTGAGCAGGAGTACTTCGGAGAGATGATAATGAAAGAGTTGTTGTGACGTTTGCGTTCGGGTGCGAAGTGGTCTTTGTTGCGCAGCCCAGGCTATAGTGGCGGCAAGGGGATGCACCACACGTTGTCCACTTCCCTGCCCATCAAGGACCCGTATGGCAGAACCCTTGCAACCCTGCACACGCACGCCTTGGACCGCTCTGACTCGACAGACTAGTCTTTCCACCCCCCACGCTGTGCTCAATCACCCTGTTGATTGCACATGCAGTGATGCCGCACTCCCTTTCACCCGCTTCATGTCCTTGATTTTTTCCCATCCATCAGGGACAGCGGGTTTGACCCTTTTCACCTACGGCAGCGCGACCGCAAGACGTTCAGCAGAATGCAGTAAGCATGGCCACGTGCCAACGATCCAGATGCACGATCGCGCGCCACCCCATACGCTCGCCGCCCGCTCAGCGTTCGCCCACGGCGTGGCAGGGAATCCTGAATGTGAGCATGCCGCAAACGATGCCTGCCTTATGCCGCTCCGTCGCGGCCGCCACGGCCGCGGGACGCGCCTGCCTGAGGGTTTGTGTTGAGGCGCTGCTGCGCTCACCCAATTCTCCTGGCGACCCAGCTTGATGAAACTTGTGCCTCTGGCCGTACCTGCATTGCCCAGGGAGATTGAGGTCATCCACGCGCGCTGGGCCATGCTAGGCGTGCTGTCCATCATCGTCGCCGATACCGTCGGCCCCATCGGCCCGACTGTCCCATCACCAGATGGCCCCGCCGCGGCCTCAGCCGCGGCGGCGACCACCGCGCCCCCGGGCTTCTGGGCGTGGGCGGGCAGCGGCGCGGCGCTGCCATGGGCGGCGGTGGCTGTCGTGCTGCTGGCATTTGTGAGCGACCCCGCGTCGACGCGGCCGCTGGCGGAAGTTGTGGCCTTGTGTCGGCAGCAGTTTGGGTGCCGTGTGGCGACTCGCCAAAGTAAGACAAGATGGTGTGCATGCACAAGCTTATAACACCCTCACCGGCATCACCCCTCCAGGTGGAGACATACCGGATGGCTGCCCTGTGGGGGGAGGAGGACATGAACCGGCGGGCCTACCCAGGTGCGCACCACCACCCGCACGTTTGACGATGCTTTGACCAGGTGGCGCTGCTTGCCGCCTGTTCATCTTCAAGGCGTGCATGATCTCCGGGTTTGCTGATCCTCCCGAGGCATACTGCGTTTTATCACAATGTATCAGGTGCCGTTTGCCTGCCTGCCTACCTGCCTGCCTGCCCGCCTGCCTCTGCCTTTCATGGGGCCAACTCAGTCTGCAAGCAAACCAGCCTTGTGCCATCTGCCTGCTGGCCCAACCACACCCGCCCGCCTACGGCACCTATCAGGCGACAAGTTCGACCCCATGGGCCTTACTAAGGCCCGTCGCGACGGCGCGCCCCCAGGCCTGGGCGTGTGGGCATCGTGGCTGGGCGGCCTGCCGGGCTGGCTGGCGGGCGGCTGGTGGTGGTCGCAGCGCGACATGACGCGGCGCGAGCTGGATAGCATGAAGTCCAGGGAGCTGAGGAACGGGCGCCTGGCAATGTGAGGGGGGCAGGAAGATGGCTGGCAACTGGAGAGGGTGCAGCGGGCGCCTGTGCACACACGTGGATGCATGTACCACTATACATGTGTGTGTGCATGCACGCATGTGCGTGGTAGGTGGCGATCGGTGCACATATGCGTGCACGTGTGTGCAGCACGTGGGTGCGGTGCGGCACAGGCATGCCCTGATTCAACGCGAATCAGTCCAGCAGTGCATTGTGTGGCATCCGTGCGACCCGTGCCCCCCCTCACACACACACACACACACCTTGTCGTTCTGCACAGGGTGTCGTTTGCTGGCGTGTGCCTGGCTGGCATTGCGACCGGCAAGGGCCCCGTCACCTTGCTGCTGCAGCACGTGGCGGACCCGCTGCACAACACCATACTGCAGACGCTGGGTGTTACGTGAGCTTGCTGCGCGACCCGAGCGATCAGGAGGGGTGCAGTACACAACACCGCTCAGCCCACAGCCCCATACTGAGAGCGCTTGTTGCCAGGGTCAAAGGACTGCGCGATTGGCTGTTGCAGCTGACAGCGTGTGGCTGCTTGGCGCAGCACGCTGCGTCAAGGTTGATGTTTGATTGCATGCGGCTTGTTGGCTAGCTGCAAGCCCGGGGTGCATGGATGGGTTGCGGGGTGGGAAGGAAGATAAGGGGGGATGAAGAGGCGGGGCTGTTGTCACATTTATGGATGTTCGCAACTCATCATCGTGTAGTGAGGGCGAGGGGAATTCCATCAGCACACACATGACATCAGACAAATGCAGGCCGCATAATCACCTAGGGTGGCGCCGAGCAGGCGCTGGCCCTGCGGCCGCATTCTCGATTTCCAAGTCACCCAGCTCGGACTGCTGGTGACGTACCGTCCGGTGTGCCCGTGTTTGGGGTCGCTGATCAAGTGTTGAGGGGCTTGCTGCACGGCTGAACTTTTTGCTGAGCTGCGTTTCTGCGTTCGCGCTTCGGCGAGGTGAGGTGAAGCACCCACCATCGCAAGGGAAGGATGGACACCTGGATGTGGTCGCCATCATAGTGTACCTGACACCCCTGCTGTGCCCGATGGAGTGTTGTGAGCCGGGTCACTCGTCTTTGCAGGCGCAGCGACTCGCCTGCTTGAGGGTGCAAGTTGTGGAAGTACATGGCGCGATTGTGCTGCGCCTTTTGTACATGTGTGAACAAGCGCACACCAGTTGCAACACAGGGGTGATGATGTGACGTGTTGACTGGATGCATGGTCTCCAATCTGACGCCAACTATGTAATCGGAGAGAAAGCGCATCTTTGCCTCGTCATGGATTGTGTGGTGCTCATGGATTGTGTGGTGCTCAAGGCCGTGTGCCGCAGCGTGCACAAACCAGCAAGATGGCGCAAAACGAAACAGCATCCAGACCTCCCTTCCCTCCCTTGCCCATAGCGATGTCACACTCGCTCCTGCAATGGCAGTCCTGTTGGTGGCGATGGCATGCTGATGGTGATCACGCTGAAACGTTTTGGTCAGTGTTTTGTGCATCATTTGCTCAGGTTGGACCCACCTGATAAGCTGCGGCCTGCAGACTGGGGGTGATCTCCCGTGCTGTACAGTACGTACTCGACGATACCGTAGGGGCTCGACTCAATTGGCCCTGCCGAACTGCGAGCTTGTGTTATCCTTGCAAACATACACCCCCTTCATCCGTACCTCGCACCAAGTCTATCTCATTCAGTGCAGTCTCATCAGTCTCATCAGTGCTCGCTGTCCGTCAATTCAGAGCTGGAAGCTTCATTCCCGAAGCCGAATATGAGGCGCATCACTGATGCCACAATGTGTTCTTGCCGCCCGGCCAGGGCCCCAGCGGCACCCGCCGTGGCCTCCAGCAGGCGTGCCGCACATCAACGCAGCGCGCTGCTGCGAGCTGCGTCGCCTTCGCGGGAGGAAGCCGTGCGCCAGCTAGAGCAATTTGCGGCCGCAAACGCTCAGAACATAGCGGCAGCGACGGAGCAGCGGCTCCGCAAGGGCGTCGTGCCGGCCGCGTCCAGCGGGGACGCGCCGACCACAGTGCAGGTGCCGGCGCCGCCGGCGTCGCGCGGCTGCATTGCACCCGCATGCATGTCCTTCAACCTCAGCAGCAGCGTTATCACCATTATCCAGGTCAATACCTCGCTTCAAACCAACCACGTCACCTCGCCCTGCCCTTTGGTGCCACCCTATGCAATGCTCGGCAGGCTGGGCTACATGAGCTTAAGCAGGGGGATTTTTGGGATTTTCTGGATCAGCATGCCGACAAGCTCACGTGCGTTGATTTCTTCACAGACTGGTGTGGCCCATGCAAGGTGAGAGTGCTTACGTGATCACGTCTCGGCTGGCGCTCGTATGTTGCGCCTTACACTTGCCATGCACTCTGAAGACAGTGCGCCCTCGAGCCAAACGCACACAATCCGCGCTCGCCACCCCGCCACCTCGCTTGTCTGTGGAACATTGACTTGAATCACATCGCAGCTGATCTACCCTGAGCTGGTCAGGTTGAATGACGAACTCAAGCCCAGGGGCGGACAGGTGGGACGGCTGCACGCCTTCGCTGCTGCAATCGCAGCCAGCGCATGCCTCAACATTCATGCCCAGCAGTTGCTCGCGCTGCCGTAGCGCCGGCGCGCTCTGGACGGATACGTTTTGTTCTGGCATGCGCAGGAGCAGCCAGTGCAGCTTCCACTTGGCACAGCCTGGCAGACGCGACACGTCAACGCACTTTCCAGGAGCGCCACTGGCCGACCTTCCCACCTGCCGCCCGACACCCCGGCCCTTCCCCCTACCCCCACTTTCCCACCGACTCACCCGTCCACCCACAAATCTATTCACCCCACCTGCCCTTGCTCCCGCGTTCTCCCCCCTTCGTATTGTGGCACCGCTCTGGCCTCACTTGGTGTGATCCCATAAGATTGTCAAGTTCAACTGCAACAAGGACAACAAGGAGCTGGGCACGCAGCTGGGCATCAAGGTGTGATCTGGGTTGTACATGCGCAGAAACGCATGGACTGCATGATCTGGTCTGCCCTGGGTTGAGCCTGGCCGGGCTGGGTTTGGCAGGTTGTTGTCCCAAGTGCACCACACATGCATCCTGCTTGGCTGCCGCTGGGGAATTGCACTTTGACCGAAATAGAGCTGCTCGAATCTTGTTGTCAGCGGATCGTTGAAGCTTCGTCTCAAAATCACAACCTTCAAGTCCATTTTTGTGCCGCGCCGAGCGCTGCCAGCTCCACATGCAAGGGTTGCCCTCCCCTCGCCATGCGCCTGCAGGTGGCGCCGACGTTTCACCTTTACCGGGGCCGAGAGAAGCTCGCGGAGATGACAGGCGCAAAGGTGGACAAGCTGCGGGAGATAATTGAGGCCAACCTGTGAAACCTGTGGTCTGAAAACTGGAGGGCCTGACCTTCACGTCGTTGTGTGGAGGGGCTCCAGACGGCTCCTCTGCCTGTGGCCACCAGGAGCCGAACCGCCCTTCGCCTAGTGGATGAAAGTGTATCATACAATGCACTCGCCCCTAATTGGGATCTGCACGAGAGTTGTAGCATGCACACGACTCGCACAAGGTTCTGGCATGGTCCAGCATGGCGGCCTGCTCTGCGCCAATTTTGGAGCCAGGTGTTGCGTCCACATGGATATCCTGCATATGAACGCTCAGGCACCCCATGGTGCATGCAGACTGTCTAGTTTCACGCCCAGTCTGACTAATGACACAACCAGTCTTGCGTCGCCCGCGCGCTTTCAACCTTGTATCTGGGATGCCTGGAGGGGGCTCAGTACATGCAAGGCCTGGCTTCACAAGCTGTGCTCATCGACACTGAGTCAGGAGCCATGGCAAAGCGAGCAGCCTAGCCTCAGCCGCCTCTGCGCGCCACGCCCGAACGAATGGTGGGGATTCGCAGCTGCTGTCACGGTCGCTGCATATCTTCCAGGCTGCTTGTTGCAGCGCCCGTTCTTTGCCAGTTTCTGGTGCTGTGAGCGGTGGCGCTTTTCTTCCCCCACCACAGGCTGTGAGTGGTGGCGCTTTTCTTCCTACACCACAGGCTGTGAGCTGTGTGCTTCAAGGCGCAAGATCGTCTGGAGCAGACGGAGGGCTACGCCAGCTGGTGATTGATGCCGTTTGTTGTTGTGAATTATCAGAGACCATTCTCCTTTGTAACCGAATCAACGCCTTGCATATGTTGCTGATTAGCAACACATGCATATGTTTAGGCTCAAACAGGCTGCCTCAAGTACACAGCCATGCTGGCCGCACAGTCACAGCATACATGTGTGATTACATGGACGTCATGTGGGCACAGCCTCAAAGCCACCGAAGTGCTATACAAATATCCGTCGTGTCCCTCGTTGCGGTCAGACATAAAACATTTGATCATGCAGGTGTGTGCAAGAGAAGAACAAAGCAAGCCAGCACACAGCAACACACATAGCAGCCAGCAGCAAAAGGGCGGCCGCCGGGCGGCGCGGGGCGGTGAGTGCTGCAGCAGGCAGGACACAGAAGGCTGGCCTTTGCAGTGCTCATGAACAGTTCTGATCACACGGCCTTGGTTCCTGAGGCCGACGTAGGTGTGAGTTGTGACGGGAAATGCATTGATTGTCCACTGAACCTTGTGGTGTGCGCAGTGCCTTGTACGGGCCAGGGCCAAAAGGTTGCACTCATCAAAAGTTCACGCGAGGTGGTGAGGTGATCGCAGTGATGGCCATGATTTGCGCATGTGCCAGTGCTTGTGCATGACCAAGCTGAGCTTGCTCCAGGGCCTTTTCACTTGCCGCCAGGACCCGTTGTGCCACCCACTGTGCCCCCACCCAGTATGGGAGACCCCATGATCATGCCGCCACCCTGCATGCCTCCGCCCTGGTGCATGCCGCCACCACCCATGGCACCAGGCGGGCCGCCCATGGTGCCCCCTTGCTGCGAGCCTCCGCCACTCATGCCGCCAGGAGGCCCCTGCATGCCGCCGCCGCCCATCTCGCCGCCGCCCATGCCGCCAGGCGGGCCGCGCATGCCGCCGCCCTGCTGCATGCCGCCGCCGCCCATGCCGCCACCACCCATCCCTCCAGGCGGGCCGCCCATGCCGCCGCCCTGTTGCATGCCACCGCCGCCCATGCCGCCCCCGCCCATCCCTCCAGGCGGGCCGCCCATGCCGCCGCCCTGTTGCATGCCGCCGCCGCCCATGCCGCCCCCGCCCATGCCGCCAGGCGGGCCGCCCATGCCGCCGCCCTGCTGCATGCCGCCGCCGCCCATGCCGCCACCACCCATCCCTCCAGGCGGGCCGCCCATGCCGCCGCCCTGTTGCATGCCGCCGCCGCCCACCCCGCCCCCGCCCATGCGGCCGCCCTGTTGCATGCCGCCACCACCCATCCCTCCAGGCGGACCGCCCATGCCGCCGCCCTGCTGCATGCCGCCGCCGCCCACGCCGCCAGGTGGGTTGCGCAAGCCACCGCCGCCCATTCCACCACCGCCCATCATGGGCGGCCACATCATCATGCCGCCACCCATCATGCCGCCACCGCCCGCGCCGCCGCCTGGTTGAAGCAGACGCCGCGTGGCGCGGGGCTCTTGGACTGAGGCCTCAAGGGGGCCGCAGCGGGCCGCGGCCACGGGTAAGCAGACGGACAGCGAGGCGGTGGTGGCGACTGCCAGTAGAAGGGCAAGGAGGTGGGTGCGTGCGAACGACGACATACTTCAGTGCTCTCGTGCTGGGCGCGCTCTGCGTTGGGATGGAGGGATTGAGGTCCAATCCTGTCAGCAAAGAAGGCCACACGCCCAACCATAGATGTATGATCTCAAGAAGCCCTGCACAGACACGCCCAGCAGTGCGGCCGCGGCCAGGTCCATGCGGCTCTGGCAGGTCTCCCGCGCCTGGTGACGCGTGAGTGACACACCACAGCCGGCCCCGCTGATCGTTTTCGTAAGCTCACCGTACCACGTCGATGCGATTTGAGCGTGATTGTCACGATAATGGTCTCGGAAGCAGCAAAAGCCTTCTAAAGCGCAGCAGGAGCGCAAATTCCGGAACTCCGTCGGATCTGTTGATGATTGAATCGCGTTGCTTCACGACAAATGACGGCCTGTCGAATGACGGGTAAACGTCAATGTATGCTGCGGTGGTTACCGCATCAACGGTGGTTACCGCATTTTCTAGTGGCGAGCAGCTGCATGGTCACTCTCAGCTGAACTTCGCACTTTCTTGCAATGCCAGCCACCTCAAATCCCAACAGCGTGTTGGAGTGCCAGATGGCTGTGTGCACAGCCCAAGCGTGAGGAACCTGCACGAAATCTACGCAATTATAGGTCTTGGGTGAACTATTTTGCCCAGACCCGCAAGTACGGCCCAGAACCCTGGGAGCCACATCGGCACCAAGTGACCATGCCAACCAGCAACTGCGCCGAAAACTTTCTAGCCCCACACGTCTGAAGCGTCACCTCACCTTTTGATGATCTGGATACACAAAACAGCTTCCGTCGAGCCCCTGGAAGGTGGGCGGAGGCTGGAACCTAGTCCAGGCAGGCGCCCTGGGAAAGAGGGCTCATCAATTATGTCAGTGGGTGCCGGGGCCAGGCGCGCGCTCGTTCGGGTCCATTGCTGGCAGCTCAACCAGAGCCCCTATAGGCAACAAGCCATGGCCCAAAGGATCTACCATCAGCAGTGCTCGCCATTGCAGAGGTGAATGCTGGCCAGCCGGCCAAAATCGCCGGTCAGAGTTCCCTGTTGGCGCCATGCGGCTGAAGTCATTGGAGGTGACGGTCGCTCGCCACCTCCGCGCACACCTGGCACCTTAACTGCGCCAGGCACGTAATCTTGCATGCAAGGCCCTGGAATGATCATGGCCAAGGATAAGGGTGCGCAGCGCAAGGGGTGATGGGAAGCTAGGCCGTGCCAATGGTAGGTGCAAGCATGCAGGTGCGTGTGCAGGCACCTGGTCCAAAACACTGCTCTTTGGCTTGGGTGTTGGAGCAGCTAGCCATGCATGTCTCCAGCACTCAAAGAATGCACATAGTACTCAATCAAACAGTGCCCACATGCCTGGTTCAGACACCTGCACATCTGCCTCCAGCCTGGATGCCCCTGAGCGGCATCACCGTTTTGTTGACACTCGCATTGACCATCCTGTCACCTGCTGCTCCGGTACGAGCGCAACTGGCCATGTGTGGGTTACACGTATAACAATGCCCATGCAATGTGCAACGAAAACAACCACCCGTGCAGTGCAAAATGGCATTCTCCCTTGAGCTTGGGTTCACTGCTGCAAACTTTTGACAAAGGCGGGCGCCAGGGTCTGCAATGCTGGCTTGCAAGACAGTCGCAATGCATTTGCTAACCCCTCTGCTCTTTTAGAAAATGAGTAATGGCAGGATCTTATACCTTAAGGTCCCGTGACCTTACGCACGTGCGCTTGCGGCAGTGTTCCTGATTTGCTGCTGAGGCAGCCTGATCCAGCTGTCTCCTGCTTTGGATGATGCGACCAGGGTGCCGCTGGCTCCGGCTTGAACCGAGCACATCAGGGTGTCGGCAAATACCCTTGACCGGGTGCATGCCTGGCCGTGCTGCACCAATGTTGGGTGTGGGTGTAATGTGCTAGAACACAGGGCAGCGGCGAGTGGCACCCGTGCACGTGTTAGGGCGCTGAACTGCTCCAGGGTAACACCTGCTGCACAGGCTCGCAATGTTGACAAATAGAAGAGCTTCAAGGCACGTGCGTTGGCGGTTGATGAGGGGCTTGCACAGAAGTGGTCGAAGATGTATACGGTAAAGAGGCAGGGGGGGCAGCAAGGCGTGGCGGCAGGGTTCACAAGTTTGTGTCTGCAACAGGGGTGTCATAAAGCTCTCACCCTGTTGTGCTGTGCCCGGAGCCCCTCAGAACATCAGGCTCGTGGCAACCGCCCAACCCACTGATAGTCGCACCATTGCAAATTCACTTGCCGTCCAAGCGTGCGTCATAGGTGCAAACAAGGCAATATAAAGCCAAATCCAGCCAGCTGTGCCGCCAACGGCAACAGACAACAGCCACACACATACGCGCCACAGTGTCATCTCACGCGCACGCACTGCGCGCCATTTGTGTTGCAGGTTTGTCGGGGCCAGTTCGAGTGAGTTCGGCATCTTGGTGCCGAAACAAAGCCAGACGTTGGTAGTGTGTGTGTGGATTAGGTCGTGCAACCTTGGTGGGGTCGGAATGCCCCATTGGTGCACGTAGGGCATGTACCCTGAAAACAGCTGGGAAATTGCGCTGCAATGCCTCCAGCCACACAGAATTGATGAGGGGCCAGATGCAGCCTCATGTCCATCAAAGACGTAGGGTTTGGGCGGTACCGGGGGTTCTGACGCCATTCATTAAAACCTCACAACGTCCCCTGCCCACCAAGCGCTGTGCACAGCGTGCGTCAAAAAACGCATAGACACACAACAATCTTGTGACTCTGCAGCGTGCAAGTTGTGTGTTTTAGTCGAGCGGCAAGTGCCGTGTCGCGCGCAACTAGTGCGTGAGGCCCCGTCAGTGCTGCCGTAGAGCGCGCGGCATCATGTGCGCCCGTGCTGGAGCTCAGGCAAACGCGGTGCACGGGTACAGCTTTGGCGGGTCCACAGGGATGTGGGCTGTGCTCAAGCGACATCACGTCTAGCAAATGCTGTGCATGCCGGTTTCTTGTTGCCTGTGCAACAGGCAAGAGTCACGCCGCAACAATGTTAAGGGAAGATTTTGGCCGCAAACGGCTGTGCGACTCGCAGCAGGTACCGCAAGTACACAGAGCGTGGTCGGCGCAAGTACACAGTGCTTCAATCGCATCCATCTCATGCACGCGCGGAGCCAGCACGGCGTACGCCGTGCCGGCCAGCGCGGCCCGCATGACGGCGTTGGCGGCTCCCTCTAATTTATTTTTCAAAGTGTCGTGATGCAAGCCCAGGTTCATCTTGTAGGTCTGTCAACGAGGATGAGTGTAAACTCATCAGATGCAGAACAGGCACTCTTGAACATCACTTGCGAAAGGATTAAGGGATCGTGAATGGCAAACGCATCAAGCCTGAGATTATGCATTGCCTGTGGGCTGCCAAGGCTTGGGGCGCGCGTCGCACGCAAACGGCACTGCGCCAGGCGCAGCCGCTGCGGACTCCTCGCGTTGCTGCGTGAAAACGGCGCCATTTGGAAGAGAATCCAGCGGCCCTGGCCTCCTCTGTGTCAGCGCTCAAACTGAGCAGACCTGAGGTGTTGCCAATATCATGTCCAATGCATGCATGCGCGTCAAGGCCGGCGCCATGCGCCAGGCGGCCAGAGCTAATGGTTTGCAACTTTTAATCTGCAGCACCCGCTTGCTTCTCACCAGGCCGCCAGTAGCTGGGGCACACCGCAAATTGCTGCGGCCGGTGAGATGGTCTAGGGCACAGCTAAACATGGGTGTGCCACACGCTAGCATGTGAGGGGGGAGGCGCGTCGAAGTGTCAATCAGCACCGTGCCTTGAGATACTCGAAGGGGTAGGCATTGCAGAGATGTGCGTGACAAAAGGTCAAGGTGCCTGATAAAAACGAAGTCCTCACACCTGTTGATGACCCCCATCGCCCGCAGCCGTTTCGCAGCCTGCAAACGCCGAGCAGCGGGCCCGAGCGTGTATCACGGCTGTGAGCTGGGACTGTGCGGCGCACGGCAGACCAGCAGCAAGCCCAGGGACTGGCCGTCACCGTCAGTGTTCATGCCACTGGAAACTAATGCGCCATGTCAGCAGCCATGCGCTGCAGGCTCGTGATAATGTCAGCAACGGCGGGGCGCATGGCGGGGTCGGTGGCCCAACACGCGGACGCCAGCTGAACGTAGGGCTGCGGCGGACCCGAGGGGAAGCTGGGGCGCGCCCCTTTGAGCACGCGGGCGATGATGGCGTCGCGCGCGAGATCTGCGGCAGCGTTGGCGTTCCGACGCCCAGCAGGTGTTGCCGATTTCAGTGCAAGGGTCCAGTGGAACGAAGAGAGGCCCGGTGTGGACCAGTGTCGGCATCATCACCTGCAACCCTCTCATGTATCGATTTCTTTTACCAGCCAACGAGCAGCGGTCCACCCCCCCCCCCCCCCACCACAGGCACGCACTTGCGTAGGGCTTCTTCTGCGTGTAGAACTGCGGGGGGGCAGATGAGGAGGCAGAGGCACTAATCGTCAGTTGACATCCTGGAGGATGCAAACAGCCCGTTGCAGGTGGGGTTCAATCAAGTCCATGGGTTCTATCAAGGCACGCAAAGGAGGAGCAACCCAACATCTTGCGTGCAGCCGGTCACGTACAATTGAATGTGCTCACCTCCCACATCATGATGCCAAATGCGTAGACGTCAACGGCTGTGGTGATGTGGCTGCCAGCACGGAACATCTCCGGGGCCTAGGATGCAAGTGTGCGCACATATGTGTGTGAGTGGGTCGCAGGGGCGTGAGGGGCAGGGGCGATGCGCATGCATGTGTGAGTGATCGCATGTGCATGTTATTGCACTTAGGCGTGGGCAGGTGCGCCCTCATGCGCGTGTCCGCGCACGCACTGCCTTGCGTGCGTGTGTCATTGGAGCATGCAACAGGTCCACTTCTAAACCATTATATTTCAGCTTCAGATTATGCAGCTGTAGTCCCAAACCCCCACCAGGTGAGTCACGGTCCCTGTCGGTGGTGGAGGTGGCAGATACAAGGAACATCATCATTGATCGTCAAGTGTGTTGAAGACTTCAGCACACCACAATTCTTGATCCTGACCAGACTGCCCAGAATCCCTGTCAGCATGTCGCGCAGAACTGCTGATGCAGTGTGCACTTGCTGGTTGTTTGACGCATCTCACCCACCAGCTCCGCTGTGGTTGATCACATGCTCGTCCTCCTTCAAGATCTTGGCCTGCAGGTTAGAGGCCACGGAAAAGTGTGCACAGGCAACGGCAAGAAAATAGGTGGTGGGGATAAGCATCAGTGGTTGGTAGGGGCGTCAGCGTATTCTCTCTCTCTCTCTCTCTCTCTCTCTCGCTCTGTCTCTCTCTGATCAGTGGTTGGAGAGAGGTCTGGCGCCACCAAATGCCAGGTGCTTGTCCATACAAGGTCAGCAGCAACCCCTGCAACATGGCCCCCTGACTGGGTTGGGACGTTGTGCTGTGCAGCGTGGCGTTTCGTCGCTCACTTGCTGGCCACCTGCTACCAAGTCATGCTGAAGCTGTCTTGAAGCCGCGGCAGAACTTTGCAGTGCGGCCCCAGGGTAGAGCCCGCACCCGCCACCCACCAGGCCGAAGTCCGCAAGCTTGGGCGTGACCCCCGAGGGGCGCGAGGGGTCGCTCTTGAGCAGCACGTTGTCAAGCTTGACGTCAGAGTGCAGCAGGTGCATGCGGTGGATGTACTGCAGGCTGTGCGCCACGTCCAGGAGGACCTGTTGTAGATTGTGTGCAGGTATGCGTGCACTCAGCAGGCAGGTAGGTGTTTGAGTGTGCGCGCGCTACGCAGGCATCTGATACTCGTGAGCAAAGCTATACAATTTATGTTGGGTTCGAGGCGCGCGAGGACAATTTGGCTAAACTGCAGTGCAGGTATTGTTGCAAACGCAGCATGGCTCGAGAGCAAACCCCAGGCAGAGGGTGCCACCCCGCGGGGCGCGTGTGTGCGCCCTGCGCTGAGCTCTGGGGCGCTCACGCTGACGACGGCGGCCAGGTCCACGCCGATGGCGCCGCCCTCCAGGGGCTGGTGGAACACGCCGGCCTGCACCGCCGCCTTGAGCGTCCCCCTGCGATATTGAGTATTCACAGCACGCACAATCAGCCTCGTGACACTCGTGACACTCGTGACACTCGTGACACTCGTGACACTCGCTGCATGCTCTGTGTTCCCCCCTGCCGACCCCCTCCTGCCGACTTCGCCTCGACAACAACCGCCCCTTGTACCGCACGGCAACTGCAGCCTAGGGTCCCCGCGCTGTCCACACACCCGTCCGTCAGCGCACCCACCTGTCACAGTACTCCATGACTACGATGTTGTACGTCCGAGCGTCCTCCCCCAGCTCTTCCCCAGGCAGCGCCCGCCTGTAGCGCGGCGGCGCCGCGCCGCCCAGCACCGCGCTGCGCGCGGAGTCGCTCAGGTGCGCATCTGGGCCGCTGCCGCCGCTCGTCACGCTGGCGTCGGCAGCGCGGGTGCGCGGGGAACCGCCTCATGAGGGTGGTGCCAGGGATTGCACAGGATAAACGAGTTGGGGTGAAGCGTCATCATCAGGGCGTGGCAAAGAAGGGAATAGCAGCTCGTCCAGAATTCAAAGTACGCTGGGGTTCTTTGCAGGGGCTGGCGCCCTGCTAGGAGTTCTGGCAACAACCGCAAGCGCACTGCATGCAAGCGTGCTGTAGAGAAGCGACAGAGCAGTTCTGACAGGCAGTGGCAGGCTGGAACATGCTGCCTCCCTCTGTCCTTCCCTCCATCCCTTCTAGCCTCCTTTCTTGCTCTGGCATTTCTTAGAATATACACGCATGCACACGCGCGCACACACGCACACACGCACAATTCAATTGCTCACCTTCATCTCCTTTGACCTCTATCATATCAGTCAGGCAGCAGTAGACCTGCACAATGTTGGGGTGCTGCACGCTGGACAGCACCGCCATCTCCATTGCATCTGATACCGCCTCCATGTCGCTTGCGCGCGCATTCATGACCTGCGGTGAAAGAGCGTCACAAAAAACGTTGTGGCAAGGACAATAGGTCTTCTCCTTCAAACCTGACCATGTGGCCCCAGGTTCATGTGAGTCTGCCATCACCAGTTTTGCTGCCGCGCGACACCTGTATCCGCAATCGCTATTCTATAGCAACACGTGAGTTCTCCCTAGAAGGCACGACTGCCAATTTTCCAAGGAAAGCCACCTTATCGCCCATGCTCGTCAACGCCTTGCCGTGCAAGAAACCTGCACCCACCTTGACCGCCGCTGGTGTCGTGTGCCACGTGCCGCGGTACACATGCCCAAACCCGCCGCGTCCCAGTGGCTCGTGGATCACGAGATCCGACTGGAAGCTGAGCAGGCTGCTGCGCCTCCTGTTCTTCCGGATCTCCTGCTGAAGCACCTTGAGCATTGCCTCGGTGCACAGCCGGCTACTGCTGACCTTGGACAGGCGTGCTGAGACCGGGCCCGCGGGCACGTCCCTTGGCTCGTGCGAGTCCGACGAGTCGTCGGTGCCGGCGGTTCCCATGTGCGGCGGCAGGGCGCCGCCGCCCGTGCCGCCGGCAGCGTCGGCCCCAAACTCGGATGACGTCCGGCTGGCCGCGCGGCCGGGGGGTCGGTTGGAGCCGCGGGGTGACTTGATTGAGCCGCAGACGCTGGAGAGATCCAAGATGCTGTTGCGCTCCACCTAGCGGGGTTGTCGGAGGTTGGTTGGGGTTGTTGGAGGGGGGGGGGGGTTGAAGGCCAGGCGCATGACCACCACAGTGGGAGCTCGAAATTGCTGGCTGGCACAAGCGTGCAGCTTTGCCTGACTATCAAAGGACGATCGAACTGGTGACCGTTTGACGATATCCTGCCCCAGTCCAAAAAAATCACAAGTAAAACAAATAACATCCCAGCCTGCAACAGCAGATCACAGCAGCCTTACCTCCTCAACCATTAACTTGAGCATGTCCATCTCCCCAGACAGCTTGTTCCAAAGTGTGAGGGTCATGGAGTGCACAAAACCCTGCAACGGCAGCGGAGGCAGCAAAATGATAAGTGGCGCAATCGTGCCAGCGGGATGCAGAAACAACCTTCACGCATTTGATGCACAACATTGCAGCGAGCATGCATTTGCGAATGGCAGGCACACGACTCAAGTGGTTGAAGTTGAAGGGTCAGATGAAAATGAAGAGAGCGTGTGTGGAGATGCCAGGCGGCGAGCGCATCAAGCGCAAAGATGAATTCAATTTGGCGTGAACCCTAGGCCAGGGCCGCAATGTCGTGTTGCCCAGTCTCTCGAAGAAATGCGGCACACCAGCAGGGCGTCCTGGATGTTTGAAAAGTCGCAGGGCGTCTCCTGCGTGAAGTAGAGCGCCCCCAGGGACTCCTCGCCCATGATCAGCGGCACCACCACCAGCGACGACACCGCCTGCGACGCGTGCGTGAACACGTCCCGCGCGGGGCTGGGGCAATTTTGCATGTACGAGGCGCAGTCTTTGATGAAGCGGGCCTTGCGCTGCAGCACCTGTTGTTTGTGGGCGGAGGTACAGTACGGAAGGCTGTTGTGGAAAAATGTGGCTGGTGTGCTGAACAAATTGTGATCGGCGACAAGCAACCTACGGGCAGCACAAGTACAGTTGATCACAGGCATGTCACACTTGATCTGGCTGGTGCGTTGTGTGAGCTTGATCTTCGGCAATTCACACCAGGGCTGCCCTCACCGCGCTGGCAAGCAACGTCCTCTCCAGCTTCAGCTCCCTGACGTTGACGTCAGCAGAGGGGTTCGACGACAGCACGACGCTCCTGCCCGTCGACACGTTGGGGTCGCCCTTGCAGGCAGTGGCGCGCTCAGACTCAAAAACGAGGGCGTTTGCGCCGTCGTCCTCCACGAGGGCGAGGCGCACGCCCATGCAGATGTTGGTGGCGCGCCACATGAAGCGGCCAGCACTCTGCATGCGCGGATGTGTGTGTGTGTGTGTGTGTGTGTGTGTGTGTGTGTGTGCGCATGTGCGTTTATCTACATGTGTGTAAAGTGTGCTGCGTGAGGATTGCTGCACAGCTCGATTACAGGCTCGCAGCCCCTCCTGCAAGATCGAGATTTTGGAAGGTGCTCTGCCCAGCAAGTTGGACGCCAATATGTGACCGCACCACCCCACACCCAGCCACCCACCTGGAGCACGGCGCTGATGGCCGACACGGGGTCGCCCGCGTCGTCGATGGCACGCATCATGCGCACCGCCTGCGCCACCTGCGCCGGCCGCACGTGCTGCAGCAGCCCCGTGGCGGCGGCGCTCAGCCAGAGGTGGGAGCTGTCGCGGAGTGTGGCAGGAGAAAAGGCAAGGACGATTGTGAGCCCTTGGATCACGACTGCTGCAACAGCATTGCTCAGGCAGCCCAAGCCTGCAAAAACCTGCTGGTGCACTTCTGATCAGCTGACTCAGTGCAGCAACGGTGAAGAAAACCAGCCAGGCAGTCGATTGAGCTTGGCGTCGCACGGCATGGAGCCGCACCTGCGGTCATCAAAGGCACCGGGCCGCTCCCTGGCCAGGAGCAGGACCCCCAGGGGGTGGTCCTTGGGGCCGATCGCGGCTGCCAGGTAGCTTCTAAGGCCTGCCTCAGCGTGCAGCAGGGCAATGTCCAGAGGCAGGCTGTCCTGCAAAGGTGCATTGCATGTGAGCCGCATGGTCATTGGGTGCAGGTCAAGGGGCTGTGAGTGAGCCGATTTGCTTGGGATGGTGCCCATGATAGCAGGATGCTTTGAAGATGAATGGATGGGTCTGGAGGCGCAAACTCAGGCACCAGAGCGCACACCTGCAACGCAGGCCATGCATTGCATGGCGAGGAGGCACACAGCAGACAGCGTGTAGTGCCCTTGCCTTCTTAGCACTTTCTCAGCTCTTTGCACGCAGGGCCTCACGTACCTCACAGGCCGAGCTGTCAGAGATCGCGAGGCGCCCAGCCCCCGAGTCGGCCAGCCGCACGGTGCTCCAGCCGGCGCCCCGCACGACCGTGTTGCGCTCCAGCGCGGCTGCCCCGCTGCCGGCGGCAGCCAGCAGCGCGGCGCAGCTAGGCTCGTCGTCAGCGAATGCGAATATCCTGAGGGGGCGGCGTTGGACGGTGTGGCGGGCAACAGCTGATGTGGCAAGCCATCAAAAGCCAAAGCCCAGGTGCAAGGCTGCGCCAGGCTGTCACAGTTCATCCACTTGAAGCAGCCACCCAACAACACAAACAGCACAACACCACCATCCCGCGCTAGGTCACTGCATGCTTCCTTGCTTGCTAGCTGCACAAAGCATGGAACCGCTGTGCCGGTGTACTCAATCCTCGCACGCACCCCGATCAGACAGGCTCACGCGGGCCACGATAACACGTACTAGAGGGTGTGTGCGCGACCCACCCGACCGCGTCCGCCTTGACGTGCTGTGCCACCACCTCTGCCGCATCTGGCAGCGCCAGCAGCGCGTGGCTGCTGATGAGGGCCAGCTCCTGCTGCAGGGCCTCCAGCTGTGTGCGAGGCGTGTTGGGTGCGAGGGCAGCAAGCCGCTTTGAAGTCGGAGATGAGGAATGAGTGGGCAAGTATGGGAGTTGCCTGGTGGAGGCGGAGGGGTGGAGCGCTTTTGTGCGGGTTGAGGGGTTGCTGTATGAACGCATTCCTGCTTGAAAAGGTGGCTGGGTGAGTGATGGCGGTGGAGAGGGCGGGGGATGGGTGCCGCTGCCAGGAGTTGCCCTCGCGGCGTCGGGTGGACCGAGATTGGACGAGTTGCGCTCGTAGAGCGGAAAATGGAGAGGCAGGTTTCATGCGCGCATCAAGCCGCGCTGGGCAAACCATGCTCGCCACGGCGGCGCCCGCGTGCCTTTGGTATGATTTCGAGTTGCACGCTGGAGGACCTGCTCCCGAGGGATGACGTGGCGCTGAGGATTCGCTCCACCAGCGCGGCCGGCCGCGCCATGGGGCTGTGGGCGCTGACCACGGAGTTGATGCGCACCGAGCGGCCGCCGACGCTGCTCATGGCGGATGGGGGCGACCGCCGCGCCTCCGCGGACGTGACACAGGGGGCGCCCTTTTTGAGCGCGGGCTTCAGCGCCGCCGCGTCGCGCTCGGCCGAGTCACACGCGCCGCTGTCCTCGACCGCGGGACTTGAGCCACAATTGCCCATCGCAGCAGCCTGGATACATTCATGGCGTTTGGGGCGGCAGCCTTCGACACAATCAAACAGAACAAATGTGGTTGTGTTGACATGCGTCCGTCAACCATGCTTGCTCGCGACGCGCTTGGGTCGGCGGCCGGCTGCTGGTGCGAATATGCTCGCATGAAATGATGTTGGACGTGCACTCACGCCTTACCTCGCTTATGCCTGGATTGTGACCGCACGGCCCGCCCTGCGAGACCTCTGAACCTCGCCACGAAGTGGCACGGAGGCGAGTGGTAGGGGGTATCAGGCTATCTAGATATTTATATCGTACAGGTTAATGGTATAGACAGCAATTCACTGAAGGTGACGTAGCTGCACCGATCCCATATCATAAAGGGCGACGAGAGGGGTGCAATTCTTTTGATACATGTGGCATGTAAGGACAAAATTAAATCAACAAGGTATAGCTGGCGGCTTCGGGTTGAATCTCGCTCTGGATTCTATCTCGGAAGCACGCAGCACTCCCGAAGGTGTGGAAGGGCAACGGGCATCCGGTATTGCAAGCGCTTTCATAAATTTTATTAGTGACACTCCGTTTTTGTGCAGCCGCACGCCTGCTGTTCGGCACGAAGGGGGGGGGGGTCAAATCCAGGTGGCACCTCGACGGACTCAACACTTTGGAAACCTTCAGCCTTCATAGAAGGCCAGGGTTCATCTTTAAAATGAGGTGCTGAGAATCAGTTACGTGTGAGGGTGCAACAAGGCCAAAACCCAAGGTTTCCCCCTTCTTGTGGGAAATTGTCAACCCATGGATTTTGCCAATTGCGCCCACCTCCCCGCTGAAGCTGGAAATTGTGTGTTGCAAGAGTACCACAGCATGCTCGCGCTGTCCAGGCAACGCACAAGCCCCCTCAAGCGTACTGGATATCCAGTGGCCTTGCGCAGCATGCACAGCGTTTTGGCGCAGGCGCAAAGCCCTAGCACGGCCTCTGCCCGTCACTGGCCCAACAAGCAAAACCACAGCAGGGCCAAGATGCACTGAGCGGTAGCAGCCCGTGGTCAAAGGCAAAGCCGCAGAGGTCGAATACTTGATTAGTGGGCGTGCAGCTGTGCAATCCTCATCACCACAATTGAACGAGCGCGGCCTCATTCAAGTTATACACAGGGCTCATGTGTCGACATGATATAGTGGCTGGTGGACCTAGACACGTGGGTGTTCCAAGCAGGGAGAGCACCTCTGCAAGCCCCTGTGCGCCAGCCGAGGACGCTGTTGTGTTGACCTGTCAGTAGCAGGTGTTTGACCGATGCGTGGCGGAGGGGTGCCTGCCATGTCTGCTTGACTGTCAAAAGTGGTCACGAATGATGACATAAATGTGTGTACCATGCACTCATTAATCCTGAAAGCGGCGCCAGTGCGGAAACGGCGGCGAGATTCTCGCTTGCGCGATCATTGCGCAACACCAGGTTTGCGGCATCACACAAAGCTGAAGAATGTACTTGATGAATTGTATGTCATCAGCTGCGCCTGCTGTGATTGCTACCGTACGCCTTTCACGCCGAGTAGGGCTTGATCCTTCGCGCCAGCTCTGCATCGAACCACAATTGCACCGTATCACTGCGCAAATATGTCTTATCATGTTGAAACGGAGCGGCAGAAAGCCAACTACGGGGTTTGAGGCAAGCAGTCCCGTGGGTGGCCACACCAGCAGATCAGCTGTCAGGATGTCAGTCTAGTGTTGCAAGTCCTTCGTGTATGCAGAAGCATACCGGTAATGGCAGCTATGACGGGCGCGATGGCGCGCGCAGCGGTCCGCGCGGCGGCGCTGGGCGCCGCACGGAGCAGCGGGACCAGGCTGGCCGACTCGGTGCCGCGCGCCATCGTGGATGACATCTTTGCGCATGCGCTGAAGCGGCAGACGGGCGTCAGCCTGAAGTACATGGTGCGGGGGCGGCGAGCGGTACAGCAGGGCCGAGGGCGCTGCGCGCCTCGCCAGAGATGCGCTTGCTCTGACATGGTTGGCCGTTTGCAGTGGCGGCGAAAATGTCGCGCGTCGCGCCGCCCCACGACGCCAGCACACACACCCTCTCATGCCGGCCCGGGGCCCCAACCCATGCAGCCTGCACTGCGGCTCGGCCCCGCCGCGCCCGCCAGCGCTGCTCGCGGACTCCCCACCGCAGCTGCATG